ATGTGTTAATTATTTTATAGTAGGATTTAGTATTAATAATAAATTAATTTAATAATTATTATGTCATAATTAAAAATATAAAGAAGCCTGGTTTTTGAAACTTGGATCATGTTTTGGTAGTTTTGAAATGTGTAAAAGAAAAATGCTGATTTATGTATTCTTCCCTTAATAGAAGTCTTTCGTAAACTGTTATAGACTTTCATTTTAAAACATTTATAGACTTTTGTAGAATTCAAAAGACTTTTAAAAACTTTCATTTAAAATAGAATTCACGTGAGCTTAGAACAATAGTGCAAAATTCTCACGTACTAGTTGGTGGTTCACGCATTTCCCTTTCCCCTGTCCATATAATAAAACATATTTTTACAAGAATAAAAATGTAAGTCACTTTAATTAATTAAATAATAATCAATATGACGTGCCTTAAAAAGTAAACAAGAAATCAATATATTTAAATTCAATTATAGATTAATTCTTTTTATATAAAATCTTATAATTTTTAATTACAAATAGATATTTTTCATAAAACATGATGAAAAAGGAAAAAAAAAAGTTATTAAGAATCTTTAGTTACAATTTTATTTTTTCATAGAAAATAGAGATTAAAAAAAAATATAAGAGAGAGAAAGAAAAAAGAAAAAGAAAAATAGAAATACATATAACCGGTAAAAAATTTTTTTTTTTAATTATGACTCTAATGTTCATAGACGAGAAAAAAGAGAGAAATATTGAAAGAAACAAAAAAAATACATATTAAATTTTTTGTTTGAAAGTCTCCCAAAATCTTGGACGAATGAGAGACAATTTTTGAGAATTTATTTTAGTACTTTCTGCGTAAAAAAGAGTACCTTAGAGACTTTTATAAAAGTTTTTAAAAATAATTAACAATTTGAATACCTCAAAACTTATAGAGATTTCTACAAAATTTTAATTGAATATACGATATCGTTTAAAAAAAATTTCGATTGAATACACCAATACTTTTAAAGAGTCTTTAAAAGTTTACATTGAATATTCTTAAACCTTTTAAGTCTCAAAAGGTTTTTAAACAGGATATAGATCATGAAAATCTTAAAATAAAAGTTTTCCTTTTCTTTTTGATAGGGTTTAATTAATAGTTTTTTTATAAGTAGATTTTCTTTTACATGAAAAGTTTAAAATATTTTTTTTTGTCTTTTTCTTTTGGATTGGGTTTAATTAATAAAAATGGAAGAATTTATGTTTTTAAAATAAAATAAATGTAAACTAAAAGGGTTCATTTGAGCCAAATTTTTGGGCATATTTAACAATGAAAAATGTATTATAGTATTGCCAATTGTCATTGTTTTGATCAATTGGATGTTATGTTTTAACGCCTTTCTCCTCTTCAA